CAGTACAACTCATTTAACTTCAGTGGATTCTCATCGGACATTAGTATTTTTACGAAAACCTTACCTAATTTCAACGGTGGAAAACTCAGCGTTTATGGCAAAGGACAAAGTTAGCTAGCTTTCCGGTGAATCGTACCTACATCAACTCGTAATTAACTCCCTCATCGTGAACCCTCGATAAGATATCGAAGAAGTTCCAGACTAGAAAGAAAACTATATATTGTTTGTAAGTTTGTGAAACTTTTGTTTGTAATAACTATTTGTAATAATTGTTATTGTAAATTGTATTGTTGTATGTATATTAAAACGTATTTGTGTTAAAAAAGAAAACTGTGTATCAATCTAGTTGGCAAATATAATAAACTGACTATATATCGGCTTTCACTTAACTACTAAATCCAAATTACAATTTAACTACTAAATTTAAAGTATCATTTAGCTCTGTTTCAGACCATTCGAAATTCTAATAAGTAACAACACTTACAAGGTTTCACGCCCCCCCCCCTCTCGGACCCCTTGCATCCCCGTCACTAAAATAAATAAATTTTGCGAAATCAAGCTTGACCAGCAAAGAGGCAGAAAAATGGAGTCGATGCGGTCAAACGTCGGTAAATTCCTTTGCGAGTCAATCAAAATTTAGATCATTCATGTGGCGTATTCATAGAATAATTATTAGTAACAATCAGTTAGATTAACAACTAATATAGAGAAAAGCTAGTGCGTTTTGGTAACACTAGGTTCCAACAATGACTTTTATGTCACGTTGTTTAGTAAAAAAGTATAACCTAATATTGTTGTTAGTCTATGTACTGAATGTATAAAATGAAATGTATGGACAACAGAACTGGAAAACATTCGTTGATTTCTTAATTTAGAGTCTTCTTTGATTAAAAAGGTGTGTTTGTTAATAAAAAAACGTAGGTGATATAACAGAAAATAGCTTAATTCAGAAACGATTTAAGTTGAAAATTGATTCGATATTTATAGTTTCATGATGATTTTATGCACGTGGCTCTAGACGGGCGATTGATTCGCAGTCTGAGGGTCGCGGGTTCGAATCTCCGTCCCACCAAACATGCTCGCCCTTTCAGCCATGAGGGCGTTATATGTGACGGTCATTCCCACTATTTGCTCGTATAAGAGTAGCCAAAGATTTGGCGATGAGTGGTGATGACTAGCTGCCTTCCCTATAGTCTTTCATTGTTAAATTAGGGACGGCTAGCGCAGATAGCCCTCGTGTAGTTTTGCCCGAAATTCAATCCCTCTAGTCTTCAAATTTGGGGACGGCTTGCGTAGACATCCTCAAATGATTTTGCGCGAAATTCTACAAACAAACAAATCATTCACGTGCTTTTCTTTTAACTTTCAACTTCTATTAAGAATCATTTCAATTAAAAAGCTTTTTACCATTAATTATATTTCATTACAGTTAACAATTCACATCTCTTAGTAAACAACCAGTATCATTTTCTAACACTTATGCATTGTTATTGTATAATTGACATACATTTTTTATTATACAATCTTCTATGTTAATTATTAATTAATTTTCTTTATGTTTTAAGTACTTTTTTAACCGGGTGCAAGGCTTAAGAACTTATTGTGTCAATAAATGCATATGACAAATAAATGTAGTACTTTCATAGTCAGGCTTCTGTTTCAAGTACTGTACCAAGTTTTGTTTATTTGTTACATTTATCATAAAGCTATATAATAGGTTATGGACTCACTGTCCACCATTGGTAATTGAACCCAAATTTCAGCGTTTTAAGTCCGTACTATTACTATTGGCACACTGGAGTACCTGTAGTAGTGGTGTAAAATGTTGTCAGAAATAACAAACATATCAAAATCATGGTTTATAAAAGGTGACATAATTTATAAAATTAATATCTATTTACAACTAATTGTTTTATCACTGAGAAATATTAATTTTTTTAAAATATTATATTTTTACTCACAGTTCCTTGATAAGATAAAAATGAACGTATATCACTTGGTTCGAATTTTAATGAGCTTACAATGCGGATTTCTCTATAAACTATATTTGAAATAGATTTACAGTACAAAATAAAACATGAAATGAGAAATGAGCATTTTTTATATTAATAAATATTTAATGAGTCTTA